CCATCGGTAAGATGCTTAATAGTGTAAACCCACTAACAACCAACTGCTTTCTTTCCTGGAGGCAGACAAGTAAGGTCCCAAGTATGATTAGATTGAAGAACATGAAATTTCTCATCTATCGCCCTTTTCCATTTTGGAGAGAGAAGAACATCTTGAAGAGATCTAGGAACAAACACAGACGATAGAAGGGATACAAAATTCCAATAGGATGGAGATAAATGGGCAAATGAAACATAACGAGATATAGGATGTTCAGTACAAACACGCTTACCTTTGCGAAGCGCAATGGGAAGATCGAAATGAGATGGATCCGTCAATGGAGGAGCCGTTAATGGAGGAGATGGAGCTGGAGAAGGTTAAAACACAATACCACAAGGGCCGTGAGCATACACTCGATGGATCGGTGGTTGCATTGACTCTTGAACAACAGGAGCAGGCACAAACACCTCCTCTATTTGTAGGGGAAGAGGTGGGGATAAAGTATCAAGAAAAGTAGGTTCAGTTGAGGAAAAAAAAGGGAACATTTTTAAAGGAGGTCACATCAGGAGTAACAAAGGAGTGTCGAAGGGAAGGACTGTAGCAATTATATCCTTTCTGGGTCCGAGAGTACCCTAAAAAGATACATTTAAGAGCACAAGCGTCCAACTTAACCAACGCCTACCCCAAGCGATGAACAAAACAAACACAACCAAAGACATGTAGAGGCAAAGGGAATGGAGATTGAGAAGGAAAAACAATAGAAAAAGGAGAGGAGCCACTTAACACGAAAGATGAAATATGATTAATGAGAAAGCAAGAAGTAAGAATAGCATCACTCCAATATTTTTTTGGAACTGATATTTGAATCAAAAGTGCCCGAGCAGTGTCAAGTATGTCTATTCTTTCCGCTCAGCTACTCCATTTTGTTGTGGAGTGGAGCAGGATGGTTGATGTATTATGCCATGAGATTTAAAGAACATATGAAATGGGCGTTGGAAATATTCTTTTGCATTATCAGATCGAAAGTATTTAATGGAGATACAAAATTGATTCTTAATTTCAGCATAAAAGGAGAGAAATATATCAAACACCTTTGTACAGGATTTCATTAAATAATTCCAAGTCATTCTTGAAAGATCATCAACAAAGGAAATAAAATATTTAAATCCATTGTAAGATTCAACTGGACAAGGACCCCAAACATTTGAATGAACAAGTTCAAGAAGACTCGAGACTCTCGTAGGTTCCCTTGGAACAAAAGAGGCACGATGATGCTTACTAAGCTGACAAACTTCACACTGTAACTCATGAACAAACACAACCTCTAGAATAAAACTCTTGAGAGCTGGAAGAGAAGGGTGACCCATCTGATAGTGCCACTGCAACGGTGTAATGGAGGAATGAAGAGCTATTTGTGACCCACCACCATCAAGATAATACAATCCTCCAGCTTCATGCCCGCCACCAACCGTCTTCCCCGTCTTGAGATCCTGAAAAATGCAATAGGATGGAAAGAATGAGATGGAGCAATTCAAAGATTTTGTCAACTTACTAATAGGCATAAGACTAAAGGGAAATTTAGGAACATATAGGACCGACGGTAAAGTAAAATCAGAATGTGAAGAAACATCACTGGTACCAAAAACACAGGATCCATTGTTTAAAAGGGAGGGGATAAAGATGCAAGTAGGCCTGAGGACCTAGTCATGTGATTTGAGGCCCCATAATCAATAATCCATTGTTTAAAAGGAGAAACAAGACATGTTGTACCTGAATTTGCAAGAGTTGCAGTATTACTGGAAGAAGAAGAAGACAAACGAAGTTTTTCATACTCTTCCCGGGTGATGGAAACCATTTCCTTCTCCTTCTCAGTACCTAAAGCAGTGGAGTCATCTCTCATAGTACCACTATCTCCTTCTATAGTAGCATTATTGGCCCAAGTAGAAGGTGGGCCATGCAGATCAAAACAGTAGTTCACAGTGTGTCCTTCCCGTCCACAATAGCTGCATTCTTTGATCATTCCTCGACTAGAAACACTGACACCACAACCTCTAAAATTCCCATCTCTACCACCGTTATGACCTCTCACACCATGGTTACTTCCTCTGGGATAGCTACTTCTACCACGTGAGCCACCTCTACCACCTTTGGTTGTGGCTAAGGCCGACTTCTCTAATACTGGAGAGCTATCTGTATGTGGACTCGTAACCCTTCTTACTCTAGAGAAAACTTCTGATAGTGTCGGTATGTCACTGCTACCTAAAATCTGGGCACACATTGGTTCAAGTTCATACCTCAATCTGGAAAGAAAACATGCCACATCCAACTGATCTCTCTGTTGTTTTTGCAATTTGAGATCAATCAAAAGAGGCTAATACGAATCCAACTCATTCCACAAACTCTTCAAGCAAGCATAGTACTCTTCCACACTCCTATCACCTTGTAGTTGAAAATACTCCTGATACAATTGATAGATTCTAGTTACATTGTCTTATCCTAATACAACTGCTTAGCATGTTCCAAATTTCTTTCACAGTATCAAAGAACACCAGGTCCACACTGATATGAGGTTCCATACTGTTCCAAAGACATGTCATAATCTGTGCATTCTCCTGGATCCAATCATCACACCCTGCAGCTCCTGGATCTGGTTTGTTTTCTTTAATATATTTTAACTTTCTTCTCGCCGTCAAATTTACCTCCACCGATTTCGCCCATGGTACATAGTTGGTACCATACTACCATTAAATTTAACCGACATCATTTGTACAGCCATGAAATCAGTTTGTACCATCACACTTGTTTTGTATTCATTGCCCGACTCAACAACAGCATTCAACTGACTTAACTATTGGTTTTGAAACTTTAACAGCATAGCCGCAACACCTAAACCTGGAACATCAGCATAAAAACTTATTCTACGAGTCAACTAACCTCCCGATTCCTAGAAAATAACCCACCAAACACATCAACCACAAACAACAATCAGCTGAACTTCACATTCACAGTCCCTCTTTGAACTGACGAGTAGAGGGAGTCTAAACCACTATCAAATAGTCGACCTACAATGCAGCTTGAGGCATAGAAACCTCTTAACCTTCTTGGTGATCAGTCCTTTTAGGTTCTTCCCCTTCCTCTCTTCTCGTATTGGTATAAATCCTCAGCTGAACCAGTTACAGGTGTCCTTCACTTATGCAGTCAGGGAACTTGATCAACCAGGCTCTGATACCATGTTATCAGGCCTGTATTTAATTAAATAAATAAAAAAGAGGTTTCTGATATGTGCCTAGAAGGGGAAGAGATGGAGAAGAAGAAGAGGAGAAGAAGTCGAACAGAATAGGGCTTCACAGTCTCAATCGAAAGAGAGAACTGCCGCCCAGTATGTCTAAATCATAATAACAAGTAAAATTACAATACTACCCCTGGATACAAATACTTGAGAATAGAGACAAAAGACACTGATTTAAAGAAGAGAAAAGACTAAAATAACCCTAGAACAAAGTTGTATTTTAGCATATCTGATTACTAATATTAGAAGCAGATAAGAGAGAAGAGAAAACACAGCAGTTGTTGGGGAGACAAGAAGAGATTGCCAAATGGGAGAGAAAATTTAGTCTCCCAATCAACCAGATCTCTTTATATGTTATGTTTTCAAAACAGAAGCTGCAAGTTACAATGTTATATAAAAAAATAAACTGACTAATCTGACCTCAGTTATAGCAGTAGATAGGCATAAATACCCTGTCTACTACGGAAAAAAATAAACTATTATTCCTAGGGAAAGCTAAACCTCACAACATAGTTTAGTAGTTTTAAATGTTCACATTAAAAGAAGAAAAAGAGAAGAAACTAAGTTCCCAAGATTTAGGTGGTGGAATTTAAAATGGCAAAAATCATTACTTTTTAATACAAACTAATAGTAGAAGGAAAATGTACTTTAGGCGAAGTAACTAACAATTTTTTACTTTAAACAACCAACTATACAATAAAGTAGCAAAGAAGTTTACGGAAATTATATCAGATTTGCTTTCCTTTTATGTCAGTTTGCCAGTTCTGCAGCATGTTTTAAAATGTCCCTAATTTCCCTAATATTTCCATTTCCATGGGTAGCGTCATGAAGTTTTATCAAAACCGGCATAGTCCCTAATGAACACTACCAGCACTATGTGGAGTACAAGAGAGTTTCCACGACATATTTCCATTTCTACTTCCATAGGTAGTGACATGAAATTTTACTGGAATTGACATATTCCCCAATGAATATACCAACGCTATGTGGAGTACAAGAGATGGTATTATAACACAAGTTGGTGACAATATTGTAGATATGTGGAGTAACAATGTTATTGCCTGCCTAACTTACATGGTTACCACATTGAGCTAGCTTAATATTTATTTCGAACATGAAGTTAAATATTAGTTATTGTTTGTGTAATAGATTGTTTGGTTAATCTATTACAACCATTTACATTTTCTGTGAGTTTAAATTTTGCTTTAACTCATTTTATCATGAAGTTATGAATCTTAAGGTTTACAAGGCAATTTCAGAATGCATTCTTTTGTCTATAACCTAAGTTTCTTAGTTTTGTTTAGTAATTTGAAATATGATAATAATTTAAAAAGGTTTGCCTATGCTTCTTTTATAATTTCATAAAATACTATTCTATATTTTGCATAGTTTATAATGTTCCCACCATGCCTATAATTTTTATGATATTTCTGACATTTCTAACATGTTTCTTATATTTTGATGACTGACATTTCCACCAACACTGGCATTTGAAACCTTGGTTCTTCTTGTTAATTGATTATTCTAAGGAAAATAGCCCTCATGCTTTTAGTCATTCTTTTCAAGATTAGAGTTGGATGGGTTTAAGGAGATCCAACTTCATTTTATACTTTATATTATATGATATTCATATTCTAACATATTTTCAAGGCAGATATATTAGATTGAAAAAAAGGCTACCTTAAGAAACTTGATGCATAATATCATCCCTAACTCAGAAACTATGTTGCAGGTATGTTCGCTTTGTTATGACTAAGATGGAAGGGAATATAGAAGAGATTAAGAGGCTGCATCCAAGGTAATATGAATATCCAACTGTTTGCTTTTCTAGTTCAAGTTCCTAGAAAAATGTTTTGCTCGTTCATATACATTGAAATTTTGGAAAAAAACATTTCTTAGAATTTAGGTTTATGTCAGGGATATCAACCATGGAAGCTATCTTTCTTTTGCAACGATTGATAGAAAAGTTAAGAGAGAGAAAAAGAGAGATCGTCGTATGGTATTCATTGATCTAGAGAAAACATTTGATAGAGTTCCTATAGATATAATATGGTGGGTCTTGGGAAAGAAAGGGGTTCCAAATAGGTATATAGACCTAAGGATATGTATAAGGGTGTAACAACCAATGTTAGAAAACCTGTGGGAAAGACAACAAACTTTATAGTTACAATGGGTCTTCACCAAAGTTTAATGCTTAGCTTTTATTTATTTGTTCTACCTAACAAAACCATACATGAATTGACTAAACATATTCAAGTGGAGTGATAAATACGGTACATATGAACACAAGAAGTCAGTGGGCTGATTTGTTTACAAAAGTGTTGAGTCGGGGAAAAGTGGATTAATATAACTGTTAGAATTGTTAGAAGTAGTTAACAGGGGCAGTATTGTCTTTTTCATGTTATTCTTTCTCTCTTATATCTGCTGTAACTTTCCTAAGGGTATTGTAGTCATTTCATCCTTAGTAGGCTAGTACAACCTGGGTCACAGTAAGGAGATGTGAATAGATTTCTCCTTTCTAATCTTCCCTCTTTTCTTCTCCTTCTCTTTCCCTTCCCTTTCTCTTCCTATCTTCCTCTCTTTCTTTCTTCTATCCTTTTTTTCACCTTTTCTTACTTTATTAAAGTTGGAACATGGTATCAAAGACTTGAGGTCGACTACACTGTTCGCGGAACTATTCACATCTCAACTTTTTTGTGCCCTAGGAATAGAGAATATTCTTTATTCTTTGTTGGAAAGGAAAAGGACTTAAGAGGACTGGTCGCCCACTTGGAAAAGAGGCTTTAATGCCTCAAGTTGCAGTGTTGTATGAGTTGGTGGTGTTTTCTAAAAGCCCTCTATTCAGCAGTTCGAAGAGGGCAGCTTTGTGATGTTTCGAGTTGTGAGGTAGGTGCTCCTCAATGTGTTGTGATTTTGTAGTGGTTTGTGTTGTGGTGACACCTTGTGGTAAGTATGCAATCTTTCCCAAGTGTTTCTAAAGTAGAGGGCTGATGATTCTTGGTATTTTTCCTAAAAAAAAAGGTGTATTATAGTAGTTGCATACCAGCTGTTTGACAGTTTGCCTAGGTGGCAAATCAGTGATCTCTCACTCATGGTTTCATCAAATGGTAACACTAAACCTACAGTAATTGTGCAATCAGATTTGACGACTTCTCAATTAACTACAGTGGAACTCAATGGTACTAATTATATCCCATGGGCCAAGTCGGTTGAGGTATCTGTCATTGCAAGAGGCAAGTTGAAGTACATCAAGGAGGGTCCATTGAAAAGTGAATCAGAAGGGTACAATGAATGGGTACAAAAGAATGCCCAAATTATGACATCACTTTGGAATAGTATGGAGAATCACATTAGTGTAAACCTTATGTTTCTAGACACGGCCAAGGAGATTTGGGACCATGCAAAGCAATTGTACTCTAGACAAGACAATGTCATAAGAATTTACCAGTTGTACCAAGACTATTTTTCTCTTGAAAAAGGGGATAAAAGTGTTGGAAAATACTATGCTTCTCTAAAAAGCTCAAGGAATGAGCTCAATATTTATCAACCCACCCCTATCCACTGATTTGAAGACTCAACAAGAACAACGAGAACATCTAGATGTAGCAAGAATTTTATCTGGGTTGATGTCTGAATTTGAACCAATGCGGGCCCAAATCTTAGGGAGCAATGATCTTCCATCCTTGTTAGGTTTTCTCTCGCATAAGGAGAGCCTCAAATCCACATAATGATCATCCCCCACCTTCAGAGAGATCAACCATGGTGGTTTCCATAGGAGGTTTTCTTGATAGACATGCGTGGTAGAGGTGGAGGAAATGTGAGGGGTTTTGGCCATGGGCCCAGAGGTGCACGAGGAGGTGGTAGAGAGTTTGGTGGTTGTGGTCATAGTGGTAGTGGTTCAGCCCGTGAGTGCTCACATTGTGGACGAGAAGGTCACATAGTCAACTTTTGTTATGATCTTCATGGCCTTCCATCTTCCTAGGCTAACCAAGCAATGGTGGAAGGTATTTCGGGAGTCTTAGTGTGACTAAAGATGCTCCTACTTCTAATGTTGGTAAGGATAAAGACACAATCTCTATCTCGTGTGAGGAGTATGAAAAGCTTCGCCAGTCTGCCTCCTCTAGTTCTACCACTACTACACTTGTGAAGTCAGGTACTGCTTGTCTTACTTCTAGTTCTTCACCTTCACCTTGGGTAATTGATTCTGGAGTTTCAGACCACATGATTAGCTCCTCAGATATGTTTGTATCCTCCTTGTCGCCACCTTCTACCTCTCAAACCGTTACCTTAGCTGGTGGTTCTTCTTCTGCTATTACTGATACCAATAATGTGTCTCTTGGTTCTGACCTTAATTTATGCTCGGCTTTTTATGTTCCTAAGTTTCCCTTTAGTCTCTTGTCTATAAGTAAGCTTACTCAAACCCGTCATTGTTCAGTAACATTTATCCTTCATATTGTGTCTCTCGGGATCTCAAGACGAGGAAGACGATTGGTGGCGGTTGTGAAGTTGGAAGACTGTACTACTTGGATGACCATGGTCATTAGAAGGCTCTTCATTCCTCTCTTACACCACATCAGTGGCATTGTCGTCTTGGTCATCCTTCTCTACGTGTTTTGAAAAAGCAAGCCCCAACCTTAGAGTCTGTAACTCAGCTAGATTGTGAGTCATATCAGTTAAGTAAACATCATGGAGTGTCTTTTGTTCCTAGGAATGATAAGAGAATCTTGAGTCCTTTTTCTTTAGTCCACTCAGATGTTTGGGGTCGTAGTCATGTGTCATCTTATAATGGATTCAAATATTTTGTAACATTTATTGATGACTATTCATGAATGACATGGATTTACTTAACGAAGGATCATTCAGAATTGTTCTCTATTTTTCTATCTTTTCATACTGAGATAAGGAATCAGTTTGGTGTATGCATTGAAGTGTTTCGTTCAGATAATGCCAAGGAATATTTTCATAATAATTTCAGGTCTTATTTTGACTCTCATTGTATACATCAATCCTCATGTTCACACACTCCTCAGCAAAATGATGTGATTGAGAGAAAAAATCGCCATGTGATTGAAACTGCTCGGGCCTTGTTGATTCAAATGTTAGTTCCTAAAATCTATTGGAGTGATGCAGTTTTCACCTCTTGTTTTCTCATAAACTGTATGCCTTTTTCAGTCCTAGATAGTGAGTCACCTTTCTCTATCTTGTTTCCTTCCACCTCGCCTTTCTCTCTTCCTCCTCGTGTGTTTGGTTGTGTGTGTTTTGTTCACAAATTGGGTCCAGGTCATGATAAACTTGACTCCAAAGCTATTAGATGTGTTTTTCTTGGTTACTCTCGTACTCAAAACAGTTACAAATGCTATGATCCTGTTTTACGAAAAGCTTTTGTTGCTCTAGATGTTACCTTCTTTGAGAGTTTACCCTATTTCTTTGGATGTGAACTTTCTCCTTCTATTCCTCTTCCCTCTGAATCTGGTGATGTCTTTATTCCCTTGCCTACTATGGAGGAGCCTATTTGACCATCTATTCACAGAGTGTACTCTAGAAGTGATAGACAACCAAAATTGTCACCAGTAGTTGATCCAATTCCAACTTCTGTCATGCCACCAGAGTCTTTTCCGTTGACAGATCCACCATCCTCAAATCTTGATCTTCCTATTGCCCTTTGTAAAGGTAAGCATACTTGCACAGATCACCCCCTTTCTCAGTATGTTTCCTTTGCTCACTTGTCTCCTTCACATCAACGTTTCATTTCCCTTCTATCCTCTGTTTCTCTACCGTGTTCTCTACAGGAAGCCCTCTCATCTCCTAACTAGAAGAAGGTGATAGATGAAGAATTTCATGCTCTTCAGTTCAATAATACTTGGGATCTCACTTCCTTACCACTTGGGAAGCAGGCCGTTAGTTATCGATGGGTATATACAGTTAAGCACCATCAAGATGGCAATATTGAGCAGTTCAAAGCTCGACTTGTTGCAAAGGGGTATACTCAGACCTATGGTGTGGACTATTCAGAAACTGTTTTCTCTGTTGCTACAGTAGTCCGAACCAGTAGAAGAGGAGAAGAAGTAGAAGAAGAAGATGAAAGAACAGTCGAACATAATAGGTTAAACCCTATTAGCCGACCCTTAATATTGATTAGGCTCTAATTAGTAGTATAAAGACTAAACTGCCCCCACTTAAGTATGGGACAGGAAGTCTCTATAAAGACTGCCACATAAGCACATAACTTAACAAAAGTCAATTGACTAATCTAACCTTATTCGGCTAGCTCTAACACTCCCCCTCAAGCTCGAGAATATATGTCATAATCCCAGCTTGTTACATATATAGTTCACTCACCCTAAGCTTAAGCCTTTTGTAAACAAATCTGCCCACTGATCACCTGAGCCCACATGTTCTGTGCTTATCTCTCYAGTAAGGACCTTCTCCCTCACAAAGTGGCAATCAATCTCTATGTGCTTTGTTCTCTCATGAAAAACAAGGTTGGATGAGATGTGGAGTGCAGTTTGATTTTCACAGTACAATTTCATAGGTTTATCCATGGAAAACCCGATTTCTTGTAGGAAATTCCTTAGCCATACTAATTCACATGTAGTGTGTGTCATGGCTCTATACTCAGCTTCAGCACTGCTTCTAGCCGCAACCATCTGCTTCTTACTCTTCCATGTCACAAGATTTCCTCCAAGAAATGTGCAATAACCTATAGTAGATCTTCTATCAGACACAGAGCCTGCCATCTGCATCTGTATACCCAATTACTTCAAGTTTTCCTCCTGGTTTGTACAATAACCCACRGC